ACTTTTTAATGAGAAATTTTACGCAGATTTTAGTCTTTTTTTATGACGTGAATCTCCATTCTCAGGTCACTGAATTCGTGTCAATGAGAGGAACATTAGCTTGATCTTAGCAACTTAGGCTCTTATCATGTTTTGAATTTACATTCTTCAAATATTGGTAAATCTTATTCGCTAAGAAACGCGGATTAAATTCTATTTTTAAAAAAACGGCAACTCTGCAACTGTGTATTTCAGTCCTGCAGCCAATGAAATTTTTCAAGTAGCGTGCGCTGTACCTTCATCACACCATCACTGCCTGAGCTCTGCTCTGCGCCTCTCCGTATCGTCGCATTTCATCACCGTTCCCCGGGACCTCCGTGAGAATTCCGCGAGGGCTCTTAAATTTGACCCTGACACAATATGTGAACGAAACTGGAACACTGGAAAAGTTAAACGGAGGCGCAGGATAAAAGCAGAGCGGTGTATACGACGTTGCATTCGGAGCAACGTCCTTTACCAACGGGGATGAACTATCGGCGGAGTTGTCAAACCAGAGAACGAAGGGAAACCGAGTCGCATGTAGACATTTTGCTTCTTTTGTTTCTTCTTGTTGAATATGGATCTTCAGTTATGGCATAATGTTCCGGCTACGATCAAATTTGTTCAGATTTAAATTTTAAATAATAAAAGAAAAAGAGAGTAAATCAATGTCACTTAGTTAATGACGTCATTATGTCGCACTGTGGAGAAGAATGCATTGGGCTTTGATCAGAAGTTTGTCAATTTTCATGAAATAGGAATCCAACGTGTATCAAATTTTGACCATCCTGGCTTTTGGTTAGTCACAAAGGACATTTGACAAATAGTTTCATCAAGATCACGCGGTTGTAGACCAAAAGAGCAAGGCGGTGGAAATGGGAAAAGAGGGGTTCGTCACTTTATTCAAAGAGTTTTTGGCTGGACATACGCAGTTAAATTCGAGTAATAAAATGTATAGCTTTGGAGACTTAAACGCAAGGTTAGAAAAGTAAACTACACACTTAAAAATTTCGGCGTTGGCAGTGTTATTCTGCGTTATTTTTTTGTGTGGGAACAATCAAAAGGTCTTGGTTGCTAAACACAATTTTTTGTTAAATCAACCCAAACCGTAAGTTACTCTGGGACATCGGATCATGAAGAAACTGTTGAACTTGAGCATTCTTATTTTCCTTCCCATAGTCAGAGGTCGCGACTTGAGAGTATCTTGGCGGCTGGCGAATAATTTATGACGAGATCGTGGATTTTCAACACAAATATTTGGTCACCTCGACCCACAGATTTGATCGATTTGACATAGGAAAACTAACGCCAAAAAAAGACCAACCAACAGCTTTTGTTACTTCATGTTTTACTTCCCATAATAAGACAAGAGTTGGGTTACTTTTTTCAACTGCGTGCTTCCTTGTAAAATTCTCTAGTTTTTAAGAAAATTTACCCTCTCTAAACAAACTCTCATATATACTTATTTTAAGCTACGAAAGGAAAAAAGAAATCGCGCCCTTGCAGAGCCAACGAGTTCAATGCCACTTTCTTACAAATGTTGAAAATTCAATAAACTGTAGGAAATGCCGAAGTAAAGTGCAGTTATAGTCGTTAAGGAGTAAGACGTGTTCCATCTACGGAAAAGAATATTAGCCTGTTAAAAACCACATATCTCCAACAGAAACCTCTCACAAGACCGCGCTCTTACTCAGCCCCGCGGAATTCCCCTCCCGCCTAATGACCCCTCCCCCTCCTACAGCCTCTATGCGCCAGTTCTTTTTCGCTCTGTACTGATTTATCTTAATGGGAAATCACGGGAGTCACCAGACGTCTTTGCCTCGGCTTATACGATTCGTACTGCATAGTTCACTTTATATTAATCGTATATTCCATCTATTTGTTTTCGTTGTTTCTCCCCTCTTCTCTCTATTTACGTCCTAACTGCTTATTTTTTCCGGCGCCCTAATTTAAGCCACAAAATATTTCTAAATCTATACAAAAGTTTCGAGTCATACGTTTTCAGCTGCCTTTGATAATTCGAGAACGAAAATACGGTCGCGTAATAGAAATTCCTGATTGCCCACAATTCTGCCGTGCTGAGGAGGAACGCCGTAAGAACATTCGAGAGTTGCCAAATTTCCCTCAATAAATTATTTAGTTTTGAGGAAAATAGTTAATATTTTTCCTTGGAATTTTCAGAAACTTTAGGTGAAATTGCGAACAACATTATTTAAAAATTTGAAGAAAAATATTCATGAGTTTGCCAGGACCCTCGTGTTTTATAAATCGAAATTTAACAGTTCTTGAAGGTTTATACGGCGTTTATCCTTAGCACGGTAGAATTGTAGTCAGACAGCAGCAGCATCTTTTTTCCTCGCTCTTCTGACAAAAAGACATATTTCGATTTCCAAGTGAGCCCTATCCTCCGTACAAATCAATGCTTTCCGAGGCTCATGTGGGAATAGAGATACGCCCTTTTGCCAGGGAGGCGACGTTTCTTCACGTTGTCCCACGTCGCTAAAATTTCAGTGACCGTGGGTCCTCCGATTTTTGACAATCGTTGAAGGAATCCTCGGACCGTATATTTTTCAATGGTCACGGTTTTGAATTATCTGTGGCGTTGCTGTGAACAGTTCTTAGCATTCTTCTTCCGGTGACTGAGGATCTTTGCTTTGTCTCGTTCCAACATGCGGCGCAAAGGGAACTCGTAATATCCTTCTTATGATCTGTAAATTTGCAGTCAATCATTAGGCTCTGGAAAAAGCTTCAATCTGAAATAGCACAGACCCTCAGAAACTCACCAAGGGAGAAAAAAGAGGAATGTCTGTGAAACTGACCGTTTGGAAATATATGATACCTTTAAAAAACCTAACAGCGAGTAAGGTGAGGTTGGGTAACTGGGCGGTGGGGTAACTGGGCAGTACCCTCTGTATTTCTACCAGAGTAGTGCAAAAATTGTTTTCACTGTTGGCATACCTTCATTATGACATAAACCATCTAGAACATGTAAACATAACTTCAAAAAAAAATTTTATGGTGAATGGTGAAGTGCCGAAAATTGGACAGCTTTTTTTTTCAAAACAACGCCGGAGATGGTCCCGAAAAGAGCCTCATATCTCACTCCCAGCAAGTATTTTATTCAACTTTGACAATTCTTCTTCATGTATGATGTATTTGTGTAATGCGTGAGTAATTACAACGTAATTGGATGAAAATACTGGCTGCAAAGGGTTGATGCCCAGTTACCTTGAAAATTTTCCCTTTGTGGGGTAACTGGGCACCCACCCCAAGGTAACTGGGCAGGTGGCAGTGGTGGCACCTGCCCAGTTACCCATTGCAAGGTTGCTGTGCTTCGGTGTTTGTTTACTTCTGAAAATGTCATAACTAATTGACTATTGTGGACTTTTAAGTGCCAAAGACCAATAATCAGGGTTCCCAGCACACTAAACTTCTAACTTAAGTCAATTATAGCATAACTTAAGCATTACTTAATTACCTACATTTTTGCCGCTAACTGTTATGGCATCACTTTTAACGACTTAAACATGGTTATATAAATTCAAATGAAATTCTCTGAAACCCTCATGAGAAGGACATTCTTTTCTGGCCAATGAGAATTACAAATAATGCCACCCTTAAAAATTAAGGGAACTTTTTGGCGCCTGACTCTATCCCAGATCAGCGTTGCGGCTTAATTTTTTTTCATTTTTTAAAAATGTATCATGCTTAATCTCACTAAAAGTGTCCAAACAGTGTCCTGGTATACAATACTACTTTATAAGTAGTAATACAGAAAGTTCTAAGCATTTATCTACAAGGAAACAATTTTTTTTACCGTTATTCAATTCTCAGATTTGAGGGTTTTTTTGCCGCTAACTGTTACGACATCATTCTTAACCACTTAAACATGTTTATATACATTCAAATGACATTTTCTTAAACCTTCATGAGCAGGACATCACTTTCTGGCCAATGAGAATTAAAAATAATGCCCCCCTCAAAAATTAAGGGGGGGTAGTCCAGTTACCCCACGACGTTGGGTAACTGGGTGAAAAAACGGGAAATTTTTGAAAATTTGTGGGAAAAAATTGAAAGATGAAATTTGACTTTTGACTCTTCCTACATTTAGACAAGGTGTTGTACTTACTAAAAAAAATTTAAAAGTAGCCTCCACTGTCAATATAATGATGGGAAAAAAATCATGAAGTTGAAATTTTGACATTTTTCTCCGAACTCCTGCCCAGTTACCCAACCTCACCTTATTAAACTTTACATTGTGTTATCCGTGCGGCTTAACAGATCTTTTATAGGTATGGTGAATATTAGTCTATTGGTAAGAATCTGTTGCTACAAGATTTGTGTGCGAGCAGACATAGCCAGAGGGTCTAGTAGCCACCACGAAGTTGTCTCATCCATAATCTTCATTTAAAAACTTTCCGAATGATATTATTGGTGGCTGCAGGATCATGATACAGAAATGAAGACCTCATGCTTACTACTATGTTAAGAGAAGGGATTGTGCAGAGATGATAAGAAACATTTTTAAGCTCACAACCTGGAATTTCCTCCCCCTCTCATCCCTCGCTCTCCCAAATTCTGAAACAACTTTGACAACTATCGAAGGAAAAACAATGAGTGAATATTTGAAAAAGCTTAAATCGATACTGGAACTGATCAACAAAACCGACAAACACGGATAGGTAGGAAAAGCAACGTGACATTAACTTTCATGAAGATTATGGAATGGGACAGTTTCGGTTTCTTCTGGGATTTACTAATTTTTAAGAATTCTCTTTGAGAAGCCGCTAATGTAGGTATTGACAGGATTCGTATTTGATCTACTTTCTCGGAAGCACCCTCGTTTCCCAGTTTGGAAGATCAAAAAGTGTCAATGTGATGAAATCAAACTTGAAACTTTTGATAATATTAACCCATTTGCGGCAATTCTTTTTGAGAAATAATATGACGCTCATTAACATACTTGTAATGTCTGTTCTCAGGAGGATTTACTGATTCACGGAGACAGTGTCTACGACATGATAGACAAACAAGACCACCAGTCAATTCAAACCGAGCTCATGCGAAGCCCTGCGACCCAGGGAGACGACCACCGGCTGTTCCTATGTAGAATGAATGTTTCCAGGAATGCCAGGAGACAAATGCGCTTCGGCGACCAAAAAGTTAGTTGAAAATATTTTACGATTAAATCTTGACATTTATTTGATCGCTAAATTTTGTTAATTTTAAATTCCTGCAAATGCTGAAATGAAACTTTTTTTGAGAGTATCTCTTTCAGAACTAAATTGTTACTTGTGCTGGATATTGGACACAAATGAGATTAAAAGTTGAAACATATATTATACTACCATTCTTATCTTTCTAATAATTATGACGCCATTCCTTATCTGAATCATCATCATATTTGCAAAGAGGAAATTCAAAACCTGGTAAGCACCATCCGGTGTTATTCAGGTTGTGCAAATGCATCCTCTCATTTAACGGGGAGTCAGTTTTCTAGAAGAAACGGTTCTTATCAAGTAAAATTTTAGAGACCACTTTCGAATAACAAGTCCAAAAATAAATCCATTGATTTTTTTACTCTGCGTATAACTCCCAGCACAAGTGTAACAATACGGAATGACTCAGGTTTTGAATTTCTACTCTTCGATTCAGCATGCAGCTTGGGAAAAAATTCGTGTTTTTCCCCCTTTTGGAGTGCCAAATTAAAAATTCAGTAGTAGTTTACAGCCCTCCAGAACTTTAATTTTTGACGATGTTCACTAATTGCTGGAAAAAATTCCGCCAGTTAAGGATTTTATTCCGCATAGGCTCTTCTTAGACTCTGTTTCAAATGGGCAAGTAACTAGTCAATCCCAAAAATTCGGGAGAGGAGAAAAAGTAAGGGCAGGGCCTTTACGGCCTTCTTTATCTGATACATAACGGTAGGTGGTAGGTGATGACAGTATCAGATAAGGATTGAACTGGAGTAAGTGGAAGGTTCCGAATGGCAGCACCCCCAAAACGTTTAAACGAAGGCATGTACAAAGCTCGCTGTTTTTGGTGTTAGTGCACACTCAAAGCGTATTAATACTCGCCGGAGTGACGATTATAAATAGGTGGATCTAATGGGCATTGGTTGGCAAGTTAATTGGACGGGTAATATAGACGTGATAGATTGAAGCAACGATATGTGGCGATTCCGACGTTGCCAGATCGTGTCGAGGAAAACCGCGCTTCGCCATCTCGATTGCGGAGATCGTCACAGCGCGGCAGTGATGGAGCTGATGAGTGTTGTGCGCCACCTAGATGGGAGCTGTTTACGCCTCATTAGTGCATTCATTATTTTCTGTAACCAATACTAATGTTCCTGTCAAATTATCATTTAACCTATCTAATGAGGAGTCTAGTATCATAATTATTTCAAACATACACCACAGATAAATGCCTCGGCAGATTAAATTATTTCGCCTTCAAGTCGTTGACACTTTTTTCACTTTCATGAGTCCATCATCAAAGATCGCAGTTGAAATAGTTTGAACCTTACAGGGAAAAAATCGATCTATCAACTCCTAAAAATAATCCATTCTAGGGGCATTTTGCTATAATTTAAAGGATAAAATTTAATTTTAAATACTTTTAAGGGTAAAGTTGCCTCAGTAAAAGAAAGCGTTACAACCTGAGTGGTTCCATCGTACACAAAGTTCATTCCTACGGAATTAAGGTCTTTAAGTTTAAGCTATTTCATAATCCAAAATAGCTTGCAACGCCTAAACAATTTAGTCAAAATTTTGATTTTATGCATGGGTTTTTTTTAAAGATAAAAATGATTTTCTGGGATCGCACACGGACTTATGCATACACGGGTCTGTGTTTTTCGTGGAAATATCGACGAACCGATGTATCATAACCATTAATTCTAGTGGCTTTTTAATTTTTAACCTTCCCGTGAGAAGGAACGGACACATACTCAAAAAGGTGAAAGACGAAAAGGGCGGAAAAATAACCTGGTAGCAAAAGCCGTGGGAATATGCGTAAGTTTCCCAGTGGCGGGGCGTAAATGATCGATTATCGATATTTCAGAATTTGAAGCTGTGGTAAAGAGTCGATTACTAAGGTGTTCATTGCAAACACCCTCTTTATCGATCCTTTCCCATAGCTTTAAGTGGCAGATCAATCGATAAATCGCAAAAGACGCGACGCCACTGGCCTCCGTTGTATTTTACATTCGAATCTCACTGTTATTACTGCCTGCTACAGGAATTATTCCATACTCCTACACCTGGGCATTGTTATCGGGCAAACTTGGTTCTATTCTGAGCGGAGAAACAATAGGAATACCCGAGGCATGGACCACAAATCGATTGCAAATAGACGCTTGAACTTACTACTGAATGGGACAATACCGTAAAAATTAGAAAGCCTTTTTAGTTCGTATCGAAGCCCAAGTAAAGTAGACACAGTCAATGAAGCAAATCGATAACTTTCGGAAATCCTCATTAATCTATATACGTACAAAGTCATAGTAGAATCGGACATGACCAAACAATTTTTTTTTTTTTTTTTTTTTTTTTTTTTTTTTTTTTTTTTTTAAAAAAAAACATACATGTTGATAGTTACACTGAAAAGAATTCGACTGGAGACTTCAACGAATGGATAGAAAAGTTGTCGCATTGAACGCGGAGAAGGTTCCTTCCAATTTATGAGTACTACAATGGATGCAGACAATTTAATTGTGTTTCAATGTCAATATATCTAAAGTATTTCGCGTAGATTAAAAATACAGAAGTTCTAAACGATAAAGTAAACTGATCAGAGAAAACGCTGACGCGCGTACTTGGAGACATTCTCTTGAGATTTCTCCTATACTAGGAAAAAAACACATTGGATCTAGAGCCCAGACTCTTGAAAACATCGACAAGAAAAAGTACTCTTGAGTCGATCAGAATCTAGCTTAAATCAAGAACCAAGCCTCTTAATTTAGGCGGATTTCGTTTTGATTCAAGCAAAAATCCGATTGAATCAAGAGTATTTTTTCTTGTCAATGTTTTCAAGAGTAGGGACTCTAGATCCAATGTGTTTTTTTTCCCAGTGTACTGTAAAAAAAGGAAAAGTCGCGAATTTTATTGAAGCATCGAAAACATTCATTAGCAAAGTTAATCAGTGATCACGAAAATTTGAAAAAACAAATTATTTACTGAACATTGATAAAAAAAATTTGGAAAAATTTGGCTTCATTCAACCCAATTTAGTTATGGTTAAAATATAGTTAAATACGAAGTTATATCCTTGTTTCCCGCACTAGATATGCTTTCTGAGATGAAAGTGAAGAGCACATGAATATTGCTGAGGACCGAGGCAGGAAGTATATGATGGAGCGCGATATATTTAGCTACTTGGGCTATCATAAACAACACATAAATCCTGTTATCGCCTCCCACGAGATAGTTACGACTGCCTTTGGATGATGTATGCATTTTAGAGTGGGACTTTAATTGATTTGATTTATTCCCTGCTTTTGTTTGAAGGTGGTGCTGGTCAAGGGACATTATTTATCATTTTTGCCGTTGTGCAGTCGGAACGAGCCTGTTTTTTTAGCGACGTGTACGCCCGTGGCCATGCCTGAGACCCGGGAGTGTGTCGTCCAGGGCGCCACCAATGTTTTCACCGCCATCCATTCAATGGACATGAAGTTCATCCACATTGATAGGAAGTAAGTGCCAACCAATTATTCATTTTCCCAGCTCAAATGGGTAGAGCAGTGTTGTGAATTGTAAAGAAAAAATATGGTGCTGTTTTTACACGGTAAAAAGTACGATAAGACGTATTCTGTTCAAAGCAGCAAGCAGCAACATGTATAAATTAGTTTCTTTTTCACTAGATTCTACCTAGCCAATGAGAGAGCAAAGTTCAAGGTCACGACTGAAAAAAGTTTTCCCCGGTGTTGGTTTGGAAAGCAACATACACAAATCCTCTAAACATGTTTCAATGGGACTGAATTTATCACAAAGGGACCAACCCTCTTTTTGAAAAAAATGAGTTAAGGATGTTTTTGAGTTCCACTAGCCGTATATTTTCTCCTGCCAAAAACTGAAAGTCGAATAATAGAAAATACTTCGTGAAAAGAGGGGTTAAAGTTTATTTTTTAAATTGAGTTTTATGCAGGAATAAAACTTTAAACCTCTTTTTCTCAGTTTCAACTTAATGTAGGTTGGTCTATGAACTCGATTCAATTGTGGTACAATAATGTTACTTCCGGGGTTTCTGAATTTGGGGTGCAAAACCAAGCTACCCCACCCCACAACACAAAATAACTTCGAACAAAATGCGATTTTTGCTTCTGAACAGAATATGTCTTTCAACTGGATTGTATTTTACAATAAGGAACTACAAATTCTGGCTCAATTTAGAAACAACGTATGGTCCATTAGTTTCACTATGGACATAAACGTTTCTACTGATGAGCAAGCAATTGTAGTTCCCAATTGTTTTGTTGTCAAATTATACTCCTGGCTAATCCTTGAGTCAGCCAGACATGTGGCTGCACCAGCTGGAGGCATCATTGTGTCAGACAGATATAACGTGGTCGAATCAATCATACTTCAAGCTGGCACCAAAATCACCCGCGAACATAATTAAGCGTAACTACTCTCAGTTGAGATGAGTGCTTTTGCTCCTATAACTTCACGTTTTTTAGGACTCACGTCAAGATTGCACTGGAAAATAAAAACACATTGGATCCAGAGTCCAGACTCTTGAAAACATCGACAAGAAAAAATACTCTTGATTCAATCGGATTTTTGCTTGAATCAAAACGAAATCCGCTTAAATTAAGAGGCTTGGTTCTTGATTTAAGCTAGATTCTGATTGAATCAAGAGTACTTTTTCTTGTCGATGTTTTTAAGAGTCTGAACTCTAGATCCAATGTGTTTTTTTCCCGTGTGAGATACGTCTTTTTGTCAAGGAACCAACGATACTATGTTTCAATTTGATTCGTTTCTACCTGCAACTCGGTAATCGAGATGCAGTTTTTACTTGGAATCAGCGACTCTAATTCGATGATGCGCTCTACCGCCTGCAACATCCCTATTCTGACCTCTCTCGATGAGTGGTGAAAAGGCAGTAGGTTAGGTCACCCCACAAGGACTCACGAAGTATTCCTCACTCGGGGCCCTGTTTCAAGGCGAAATTGATAGAGCCGTCATCTGTTGGAGAGATTTGCAAGTGAGAATATAAATATTAATAAGTAGATAATCGGAAGGTGGGATCGCGGCGTGTTTTGGTGAGAAGCGCAGCACAAGCTCACGATCGGAGCGCGCTTGCCGGCGCCTCCCTCCCCATCGTGTTGCGCCATCTAGCGGCGAATCCCCAAACCTCCTTCCAGTCCACCCTTGGTGTTAATAATGATGTATGCATGACACCATTCATCTGCAAATCCCTAATGAAGTTCCAGGGCACAATCTATGCCTCTCATCACTCTCAGGTGGCTCGAACACAAATAAACCCCGAAAAACCTGACTCATTTGTATTCAAAACTACTCTTCCGGCTTCTTCGTGATAAGGCCACTGGCGAATAATAGCTAAATCAATTTGTTTCAACCCATATTATTCGTGAGATTCGAGGATTGTCGTTTCCGCTCGCTGATTTTTCAACTACTTGGACATCAGAGTCGCTCACTCTCATTCCTTGCGTCGTGAAGTCACTCCTTCCCCTCTCTTCCTCTTTTTCGAGAATCAATTGATGTTCTCACGTCTTGGAACTCTCAGTGCTTTGCAGAAGACTCGCTGCTTTGCTATTCTATGTGGTTGAATGACATAGAGCACATAGAGTCGCAATATAAATGAAGTGACCTGGGGTCATGTTTTGGTCGACGAGTTCCGAGCCCGGTGTGCGCCGACATTCGTCAACCTTCCCGATATACTTTCGCTCCAAAATGGCTATGTAGAATACATAATAATTCACATCATTTTTGTTTAAATCAGATGACCGGGTACCTGTGTATCGAAAACAATCGATTATGTATCGAAATGGTGACCCGTCACCGCCCAGGAGTCTTGGAATTCGGTGCGACTGGAAAACACTTAAAAGTGGCGCCAGCTCCTCCGTTCCGATTACGACTTTGTGCACTCTTTGCTGAATAAGTCATCTCTAAACACGTAACCGTCCGTCGGGAAAAGTGACATTAGCAAACTAATGTAAAATCTTGAGCTGCTAAAAAGTAAGGCTGAAAACTACTGTAAACCCGAGGAACTGAGGCTTCGTAATTTCATAAAAACGTAATCAATGTATGGTGGGTTCGATGGCCGAAACATTCCAGGGATGTGCTCATGAACGGTAGCTTTCATATAATCATGTCGAATCGATGAAGGCAATACTTAATCTTCTTTTTCACGATCCTTTTGATTCTCGTGCTCAGCCTCTGAAAGTTTAAATGTTCGCGTTGTACTTTTGAAGTCTATATCGAAGCAGGGGCAGATGTCGGGCCAGGAGGTGGCAGGAGGGGAATACAGACCATAGGTATATGAGCTAATTTGATATTCTGCACATTACACCGATTTTATCACGACTTGCAAGTTCCTCGGGTCCACGTATACTCTCATTATTGTGACCTCTTGCACAATTACTCGAATTATTCAGTGTCACTGCAGTAGAAATGAGAAGTTTCTTTGTCAGAGTGGCAAGGCTGTAAAGGTTTATTTCTCGCTTTTTGCAACCAAATACAATGGAGTCTACGTGACCATTATGCTACATCTTGGTCCTAAGAATCGCAAACATTCAGTAGATATCAGGTGTCTTGAGTAATCCGGGAGCTCGGCGCTCACAGCAGTTGTAGGTAGCAAACAGTGTTGTTATTTTGTTTTCGTTTTCCTCTGCTTTCCTGCTTTTCCGTTTATTTTCAGTCCCCGTGAATAGTATTTGGTATTTGAACAATGGAGTTCATACATGCAGCATTTCATGTTCCAGATTTTTCTTTACGGATACTGATGAATAATGAATACGTATCGGACATTAGTGAGAAAAACACAATAAAAATGTCTTCTTGTTATTCAAATGGACACACAGATGTAAAAGTATGGGATTGAATTAAAATAAAATTCCAAACTTTCTGAGCGAACGCTTGTATATACTGTTCCCCAGGAGCGATAAGAAAAATATGATTTTCCTGAGAGAAAAGGAGCAACTTAGAAACAGAAAATAGACGAGAGAACGAAAATTATGATCATCTATATCGTTTTTTGATATTGCATTTTCGTTTGGCTCTTACTTAATACTTAACGTCTCGATTAGTCTAGAAAGAAACTTATTATATTTTCCCTCTTCTTTTGTTTTTGCAGTGGAGAGTTTCATTTAGGATTTCCAAGAAGCGAATTGCAAGGAGCATCGTGGTACCACCTCTTACACTGGGACTGCATGCGAGAGGCTCAAAGTAAACATAGGCTAAGTAAGTTTTCTCCACTTTAATATCTTAAAAACTGAATATTATTTTGAAAATAGCATATTTTGAAATACACTATTTCAAGTATAATTTGATTCATTTCCACGCTAGTAAAAATGCTTTATGCAAGCATGAATAAATTGTATTGAATACACCCGAATATTATTTTTATCTCGAATTCACAGGAGGTGAAGTAGCTGTATTTTGAGCCGCATGATAGGTCCCTTAAGACATAAATTGGACTGCGTTTTGGAATTTGGACCTATAAATTCTGGCTCATCTGAAAAAACACTTATGTGCATAGGGAAACTAATGGCACACACGTTGTTTTTAGCCGAGCCGGAATTTATAGGTCCAAATTGCAAAATGCAGTCCAATTAAGCCAGTAAAATGCGAGAAGGGTGAGAAGAAACTCTCACGCACATTACTCTGAGCAGTGCTGATGCAAAATAAAGCTTCGTTGAGCTCAAAAAGGAATGATGAGTAATTTTTATGACATCTTGGCCAAAGATATCAGCAAGACACCTTGTTTCAATTGTTGCGCCATCTTTCATAGTGCAGGACTCAAAAGGTAAACAAAAGTACACTTTTGAGTGGTATTTTTCAGCTGGTATGACATGTATCAATCCCTGGTAGTTCAAAGGCACGATTATTACTTCTATGAACTTCGATTGAATAATCCAAATTTTCTGTTCGCGCAAGAGTTCTTCTATTCACCACTTATTTTTCTCTCCTTATTTTTTTACAGTTACTCAATCCGAGCAAGATAGGTCGTGTATTTTACTCTTAAGGCTGCAAAGGCGGACGGGGGATTGGGTGTGGATTCACTGTGTGCTTCAAGTCAAAGAAAATATGGAAAATAGTCAGCAACCAGTCATAGTCTCTACAAATCAAGTATTATGGTGAGTTTATCATAAGTATTTAGATATGCGTGCACTGTGTTTTATTAATATTGTTTTTATATTATCATATTTGGACTATTTCTGTCACAAGGAACTAAGCGCCACAGGGGAGAATGGTAGGTGGGGGCTTAGATTGGAGGCGGAACCGGGTGTCGGGCTCGTACCGTCCTGTACTCGCAATGCTTTTCCATGGCACTTAGTTCCGTTTGACAGAACGCGCTATCTGGCATTCTAAATTCCACAAAAGGAACTCAAATTGGCGCTTACTTCCGTTTGATAGAAATACGTCCATTTTTACGAATAATTTTCGGATTGCTTGACTTTTTCAATGAAGTTCGAAAACTCATGCAGATTACATCAACAGGAGTCAAAAGGTTTGACCACAAGTCACGCCATGCCAGTTCCTCGTTAACATTTTGTGTAGGCAACCAGGGCTCCTACGTGTTTGAATAGTGGAATCGTTGTAAAACGGTGCGCTCACTCAAAAATTCGGAAAAATAGCCATTTACCAAACAAGAAAAGATTAGCTAGGCTAGTTCACCTTCAATTTCACTGTAGGCAACACAAGCTCCCTTATGGTTGATTAGTGGTCTTTTGAAACAGTACGCTCGCCCGGAACACTGGAGAAATAGCTTTTTACCAAACAGGAAAAGATAAGGTAACGTATGCCAGTTCGCCTTCAATTTCAGTAGAGGCAACACAAGGTCCCAAGTGGTCGAATGGTGGTATCGTTGTGAAACGGTACGCTCACTCGGAACTTAGTGAAAAAGTAGATTTTTACAAAACAGGAAAAGGTTACTTGAACGTCATTTCGGTTCGGTTCAATTTTCAATGGAGGGAACACGAGCTTCCATGTGGGTAAACACAGTGCAATGATAAGCTCATTTGAAGCAGTAAACTGTAAATTACTCGGTTAATGAAGTGATCAATTATTACAATTATAATTTATGGTGAAGCATCTAGAGTCGTGACTTCAGTCACGGAATTTTCACCAGTAGTTATAATGTACAGCATGAATGAAGGGGTGAAATTGTATTTTTTCCCCCTCCTACAAATGAATCTAACCACTACCAGAGAAGTATCTTGCCGTCCATTACAAGAGAGCCGTTCTTCCATCACAAATCTTGCAACCCTTTTTTGGACAACGATTTCTTTTGCTTGAAAAGTTGATCTGTTCAGGAGGGCATTTCCGTCGAATGAATTTTCAACAGTATGCCACAGCGATTCTCAAAATCTATGGTGAAACTCCAAACCAAGTATCTCGGTCTGCAGTGTCGCAGACTTCCCGCCATACTTTATTTTCTAAATTTTGAACAACTCAACGTCAACTCGTATAAACTTCCGTGATTTTTCTTCAGTCAGCGAAGCAAATTCCGAGAAAACCTCAATGAATAACTTAGATTTCGTTCTATTTTAAAAAAATAAAATAGGAGCGGAGATTTTTAAACACCGGAAAGAAGATAAGTGATTTGAGAGTTTCACAGTCAAAATATGAGGTACCATGTCTGCCGGTTTTCTTGTAGAAAACTGGAAAAAAACACATTGGATTTAGAGTCCAGACTCTTAAAAACATCGATAAGAAAAAATACTCTTGATTCAATCGGATTTTTGCTTAGATCAAGAACAAAGCCTCTTAATTTGATCGGATTTCCTTTTGATCTAAGCAAAAATCTGATTGAATCAAGAGTCCCATTTCTTGTCGATGTTTTCAAGAGTCTGGACTCTAGATCCGATGTGGTTTTTTTCCCAGTAAAGAATATTTTAACGGGAGAAAAATTAACAAATTTTGAATGGAGTCGCTGCATTTTTGCTTTAGACGGCAAGGGTGGTGCCAAACTGTTCACTTACTGATGAATCCGGAATTATCTCGATAATCCTCGCTCGGAGCAGGGTCCATTATGGGTACAACGTCCCCCGTTCATTCGAATCGTCTAATGAAGCGTAAGTAGTCTTTGATGTGACATTCGGGATGAAAATCAAGGCTGAGGCCAACCAAGAGCGAGGTGATGAAGTGACTCGGAGGGCAGAGGAGGGGGGGGGGCGAGGGTGGACGGCCGCGCGGTCCCTCAGCGTCAATGCTTCCGACGCGACGACACAAATAATGCTCGAAATGAGTGAGGTGTGTTGTAAACTTGAGACTACCAGGCCATACCGGGAGGGGCGGATAATCATTATTTTGTTATCTTCAGCGCGGCCAACATTGTCCGTCCGGTTTTCTCACGGTCCCGCCGCCGCGCCGCGTCTTGTGTCATATTCCGCCGGAGAAAGAGCGACGAGGAAGAAAAATGAGGGGGCCGAATTAAAAGGAACCACCGGGAAAAAGAAGAAAGTCCCCCCCCCACCCCGCCGCCCTCTGGGAGATCTCGCTGTTCGCAACATTCGGATGGGATTGTCAAGCTCCGGTCCGGTGTTGCTCGGCAGTCACCGTTTGCCCGTCAGCGGAGACAACATATTTTACACTTGTTATGCGAGTAATGTGTTTAAATTAAGCGAAAAGTCGTTTTGGAGATCCGTCACCATTCCTCCGGGCTCTTTCGTCTCCCTAATATTTCGTTTCTTATCGTGATTTATGGTTAGAGACGTACCGGGCCGATTTTCATGTCTATTCTATTGGCAGGAAATAATCTCTACGTTAGCTCGCTGTCAACCTCACTCTTGCCGCGGAGCGGTTCTCCGAGACTTTCAGCAGCCGCTGGGGGTTGGGTTGCGTTGCGGCCAAAGAAGATTCCTCAGCACCCCTCTTAGCAACATGCATCTACGCACGGTGATGACGCATACTTCTCGTATTGAACATGCAGTTTGCCGAGAAAATTCACAAATTTGTAATTTCCTGAGGTCTCCGGTGTGTTATACTGAGAATCATTTACTGCAAATTCACGTGACCCGTCAATTTTTCACGAATGCAAAAACAAGCGAAGAAGCTTAACCTAAAGAAAAACGGCACGATTTTCAAAATGACAAATATTTTTTGTATTAAAATTAATCTTGAGAACCAACCTCTGATCAATGAATGCAATGCACAGTATTTGACTGAGAATCATTTCCTGCAAATTCACGGGCTCTGTCAATTTTTCATGAATGCAAAAACAAGCGATGAAGCTTATCCAAAAGAAAAACGGCACGATTTTCAAAATGACAAATATTTTTTCATTCAAATTAGTCTTGAGAACCTCCCTCCGATCAATAAATGCACATTTTCACCAAAAAAGTCAGCAAGTCAGCATTCATTTCCGCAGTCATTATTAAATAATAAGTTTGTATCCATAAGGTACCAAAAACACCAATTGATGCCCTCCCAGCATTTAGGATTTGACCCTTTTTTTGGCGCAGTTCTGTCCAGTCTCTGGGAAAACTTTTGAGCTATTTTGTTTTATCTTTCTCCTTCAAGCAAACTTTGCCCCCTCCCACAACTTTTGTCCGCCTCCTTAACGTTTTCGATGAAGTGGCGCTTCCAACGTAGTACGCCTCAGTTTTAATGGCCATCCCATCGATCTCGTATTAGAAAAAATAGATTTCAGTTAGTATGGTGTGAATTATTTATATTAGGGTATCGATAAAGCGTTAGCGTCGTGTTGTGCTCATTAATGGCGCGTTTTAGTGGAAATTACCGAGTGGTAGTGAGCTTGTGTGTGTAGCTCCCATAGCCGCGATGCAAGAGCCATAGAGACCCGAGGTCCGAGGTGCGAGGTTTCGGAACTGCATACATTAGGAGGAGAGGGAACGGTATATGAGGGGAGATGATGCTAGATTAAATAATAAAAGGTTAATAGCGGACTGGACAGGTTAGATAGATCATGGCCCCGTCGGAAGACGTTAGACGCTGGTATATTATTGTGGTCAGAGCTGTTAAAACTGTGATTATTGATGTTATTATTACAGCGGTGTGTTACCTATAGTAAGAAGAAGTGTTTACGCCATTATCAGCGAGAGCTCATCTTCGACTCTGCAAGTGTTTTTATGAGTTACAAGCTCATTTAAAACTCACTGCAACACCTCTCTGACAATCCATCTAGGAACAAATTATGGATTTCAATCCGGTCGGGAACATTATTGACCGTAGCTTATGAGAAATCGATGTTAGATTGAAGAGTTTATAATATAAACAAGAAAATATAAATAATACTGCATAGACAAACATCGCTTCCTTCCTTGCAACATTTTTTATTGGATCCCCGATAGGATCTCGGTTCACGCTTCTAGTTCCACTTTAATCGCCCGCCCTCTCCCCTCCTCCTCCCCGGCCTTTTATTTCATTTTCGAGCTGTCCGGTTTCTCATTTTTACTCCTTTGTTGAAGTCTACGTTTACAAAAAAGTGGGAGGTGAATCTATTCTAAATTATCTCTTTTAATCATGCTTCGATTTGTGGCACAACGCCGCGCCGCCGCCATACCGCGTTGCACTCCACTCCGGCGCGCCTGCTACGTCACACAGCACTCGCCTCCCCCCCCCCCCCCCCCNTTGCACCGCGGATTTCTTTTTTCATCAAAGTAAAACTTTCTACGGAATGCTCCTCAAGCTTTAGGGTCATCACATGCACGCCTCTCTTGCATCTGATGCTAAACTCAATGGAGGGCGTCCGTCCTCGCTAGTCCCCTAATTCAACACTTAGATACCCAGTATGGATAAACAAAACAACACCTTTTCGGGAATGCCGAAAAGGAAACTCTCTTCTCCGACACTGAGGCATTTTTTCGATTCTCAAACCAAAATACCGTGCCTGCATTTCAATCTGGGAAAATTTCCACTTGTAAATTGTATTTTCACGGGAAAACTCTCAGGTATTTCTGACTGATAATGTCACCGATTTTTCCTATGATTGCACGTGAAAAATATATAAGAGTCACTTACACAGCTCTCTGTGGCGCTCTGCGACACCCTACCGCCACAGTGCAGCCGTCCTAAGTGAGAATGCCGTATGAGCCATGAGACGCCGCCAAATTCCATTTCATAAATCCCGAATATTCACAAAGATTTGTGAATATTTCTCCTCCGGTTTTTT